AAAGCCCTACATAGTTGTCTTCAGATTCTTCACCAGGGCAAACAGTGCTTCAAGGACAAGTAGGAAAGTAGCTGCTATTTGAGGCAACTTCATTATAAAATCATTTTTAATAAGCAATCTGAACAAAGAGAGGGAGTGCTCTTGCAGAGAAGCCCCCAAGGGATCTTAATGCTGCCCAGTAAAGTTATTAGGAGGTTACACACAGGGGACCAAACAGCTATTTTATTGGCCTCAGGGGATAGGGTTTAGATTTCACCTGTTCTCTTAAGGCCTTGGTGCTAACAGCAGATCCTGTTAACCATCAGTTTTCTGCAGGCTCCTATTTTGTGAGGGAAAAGTATCCTTTAGTTACTGTAGCTGGCACACAAAACACATGAGGTGAAGTAGAGAGCACAATGCACAGTAGGCATACTAAGTAATTAGAAATCAGATCAGAAAACAAACAAACAAATAAAAAATCACAGTTATTTTTCCTTTAATGAAATCAAGTAAAATAACAGACTTCAAGAAATCTTTAGCAGCGGCTATTAATGTGGGAAGTAAAACCAGAGAAATAGGGATGTCCAGGTTCTGGATTCAATTAAGCTGCAAACCTTACTAAGCTTGTAGAACTCTGAAGATCAGTTTTAGGATGTTTGGACATCTAAGAGCTGCCTTCTGCCCCAAATTAGCCTCTTTGACATGATTTCAGAATGGGTCTTTGTTCTGGGTAGCTTTAAGAGTGTGCCTATGTGGATAGAACAAGACAGTCCCTTTCTTGGCTAGTTGGGCTGCAGCAGCAGTGAAGATACAGCACTCCAAGCTCCAACTAATGGAGGTACCTACTGACAAGTAATTTTATGAAAAATTACTCTAGATACTCCTTTGGTAAATCATGAGGAGCAACATGAAACAAAAGGCAACTAAAAGTTACAAAAGAGACTTAACCTACATAGAAGTTGGGTATAAGTATTTTCGGTTAAATGTGGACATATCTTGGATTATGAAAATATAAAATATACAGTGTTGAATGGGATACCCAAGTACATCTATCTGCATTACAAGCAAACAAGGATGAACACAATTAGTTCATGGATCGCTAATAGTGGCTTTCCCACTTCCGTACCTATCATACACAAGCTCCAAAGCACAACTGCCAGACACCCTTTCTGCCAGGACTGCAAGTTACCGGGCAGTGACACGAAATAAAGAACCAAGTGTCAAAAGCTGGGGTAGCTCAGGGAGTAGGTGTGAGAAGGTTAGCTGCCCTAGCTTAGTTCTCCCTTGGAAGCAATGCCAAGTATTCTATGCCTATATGCTTGAGATGAAGCTGAACTAAAACCTGTGGTTTTTCTATCTGAAAAATGTTAGGCAAGCAAATAACTGAATGTACCTGGGCCTCTATGCAGATACAAACTTCAGCTATGACATAAAACTCCATAGAAGCTTCTGTGATTCATTACAATTCAAATAACAAGAGAAAGAAGGTTCCATTACATCATGGGTTCATTACAATATTAACTTTCCGGATGCATCCACAGGAAACCACCCCTTATTCTGGTAAGGCAGTCGAGTCAAATTCAATCAAGAAAGTCAGTGCCCAGGATATAAAAATGATCTGGAGAAAAATAAGGTGATCTATTTGTGTGATAATTCTGAGTCACTAGTGGTCTGGTAGAGGCCATCAATCTCATTGCATGAAGTACTGCAAGATTTAGATCTAAGATGCCAGAAATGAAATACTACACAGTAGATAAGATAGGATTTGGCCTCTACCATCTGACTTGGCTAGACTAGAGGCTATGTAAGGGGATGGTTAACCTAACAAATTACCATATGAGCCTGAGAGAGGATACTTCTACAGACAGAAGCATGAAGTTTTACTTCAAAAGCCTCATTAACCTACTGAGGGAAAAACTGCATTCTGGGGTAGACAAACTTTATTCCCTTAGTGCAGCTTGGAAGAGTATTACACTCCTGGCTTATAATGGCAGGTTTTGTAATGCTCAACTTCTGATAAAGATGGGATACAGAGAAGCAGTAATGTAAAAGTAAGATGTAATGAAACAGAATACTTGAATAAAATTGGTTTTATCAAGAATACTGAAGCTCTCTCAGGTTTTACTTAGCTAGATACGTTATGAAAAACCTGTATTTCTTCAGCACTACTTTGAACGTGTAAAAATAGTCAGCTATTTGACTCTGAAATGACTCAAGCACCTATCAACAGGCCACTAGTTCTATTTCAGATGACAGAGCACTTTGTCACAGACTAATGCCAAGTGTGCGTGTGTGGGACATATACCCCACATCTCTAACAATAAAACCAGGACTAAGTAGTGGAGACAGACCTCCACTGAGTTTGAAACCCATACAATTAAAATGGATTTTCAGATGAAATCTGAAAAGATTAATCGGATATTTGAAATGCATAATGTACCAGACCTTCTGGCATTATACTCCCCTGATTAAGTCAAAAGGTCATTAGGCATAAGTGCTAGTTTACAGTCAGTCAACACCCTCACATGCCATACATCATAAGCTTGGCATAAAACGACTTAATCTGTATTTCTAAACAGTAGTGCAGACAACGTCTACACACTTCAAAATGGCTTTGTGAATGTTTTTTGACATTTCTTTGCAGAAATCCTTCTCTATGTAACTTAATCTGGATGTGTTATACACACTGATAGAGTGATAGGCAAACTCTAGATCGATTTGAAACAGAAAAAAATCTCTCCTTGTCATTTGTAGTTGTTAACAACTCAGATCTGAGTTGTAATTTTTTGCATTGAGGTGTTTATATAATTCCTTCCCCCCCGTCCCCTCCCCAAGCCATTCCAAAACTCTGCATTTTGATGCCTACTTCTTCTATTCAATAATAAAAAAATTCTATCTGAAATGCCAAAGATGCACAATTTACATTAATTCCTGCTCTATGAGAATTTGTCAAAACAGGAATGAGTTCTAAAAGAACTTCCACAAAAATTGAAGGAAACCTCATACATATTTGCTAGCAAACACAGTCTGCGTTTTCATCATGCCAATTACAGCATATTGCTCCTTCTATTTTAATCCTTCCTTAATGGACAAGCTTATCTTCCCATTATTCAGAGAACTTTTTTGTTCATGCTTCAGCAATTGCATGACAACTGATTAACAAATCAGGGAACTGTTCTTTGACAGTTCTCTTAGAATTGCACAGAGCTCTCAACACAGAGGACACTGGGACCCTAATTTCTGCCTTGACTAAATTAAATGCCATATGTGGTGAACAGCAGCTAATCGACTAACACAGTTGATGAATACACCTTTTTTTCCATCATAAGCCTCAAAACCAGCATCTACCAAGATACATGCTGCCAACATTTTATCAAGCTGCCATGGCTTCAGAGTGTATTGCCTTCATTCTTTAGGTCTGTGGTTACTATTTAATCTTCCCTACAAAAAGTATCAAACACTGGAACTGGCTAGCAGGTCAGTACATGGCACTGCTCTATCCCATACATAGGGTGATTTCAGCTGATGTTCAGGTGGAGTACAGTCATTAGCCTCTGTACAAGAGAGGCCCAAGACTGCGCTAGTGTAAATACCAAATTACTTACCACCTCTAGAGAGGGTGGTCGCTCCAGGCCAGGGTTGAGCTCATGGGCAAGGCTGTGCAAGGAAGCTGTCTGTACAATGCCTGGCCTGCGGATATACAGAGGACTTCAGTCTCCTGTACTGTCAATCTCAGTCAGCATGAGCTCAAATACTCCCCCAAAACGTAAGGGCCAAATACTGCCCTCAGATGCCTACCGTTAAGTCCAACAGAAACCACATATGCATTCAGCTGAAGAGGATATCTGACCTTACAAACACATTAAGCATCAAGCCCACCTAAGGAGAGAAGGACCACCGTGCTCTGAAAGTATGTGACATTTAACATTTACTTCAAGTGTCACACAAACCTTCTCATTTGAAATTCTTAAAGAAACTGCATTTTGTATCACTATATGTTGAGAATTCATCCTCTCAAGTCAGATTTTTCATTACATGACAATTTTAAAACTGGGAATGAAATAATAATGAAATAAATGTAAAACACTTCATGACACCACTTTAAACCTAGAAGCTGCAGTGAACATACTTCAAATCGTAACCCTCTTACAGTGTGTGTATCTTTGTAAATTCTGTGCAGCCTACTTCCTGTTTTGTTAGAGGGCTTTTAGACTAATAGCCTCAGCTTTAACCCACTCCTATTTCAATCCTGGGCAAATTCAGTTTCTGCGCTACAAGATTTCCGAACCTCCACAGTATCCAAAGAATCTCAACACATCTCCTGCAGCTACAAATGGTAACATTTTTTCCTGGAATCGTGCTTTTAACTCACTGCAGAGTAGATGAGAGTTGATCCCCAATAGTGATGTCTTTGAAGAAGATTCCAAGTAAGTGTACACATAAGCAAATGCACGCATCCACATCCATTTCCAAGGTTGCCATTCACGAGGAATGTTTGTTTATGGTTGAGAGCCAAACAATAACCTCTTCATTTTCATCAAGAGCTCCTTATGCACAAGCACAGAAGGATTTACCTTACAGATTAATGCATAGGAAGGATAGAAGACTCAATTCATTTGTACTTGAATCATACTGCATCTTTAACAGCCATAAAAATACACCCATTCTCCTCACCTGCATTTTCTGGACGTGTTACTTAGCAGCTAGCTGTAGAGTATACATACAGGAATACAGAATTCTGCCTTTCTTCACAACTTTTTCTGCACTCTTAACTCATGCGAATGCACACATACATGTGCATACACACACACACACACACACACACACACATTGTATATGCATTTTGAGAATGTTGCAGGTGAGGACTGAAACTGCTCTGAAGTGGAAAACCCACCAGAACATTTAAAATGGAGCCTTATCAGGCCAGACCAACACCCAACACACCAACACCTAATAGTCACTGCACAGCCTAACATCAATTCCGTTTGTAAGAGAAGGCCAAAGCAAAAGGTGCTACTTACATGTATGAGTCTTCTTCGTTACAGAAATACCTGTAGGGAAGAAATGATACTGACATTAGCAAAATGACCACTGAGCATCTTTTGACATGTATTTCACCATTATTTGATTTCAGATACACAGTGACCACTACAAAAGCAGAATTAAAATTGCCATAATTTGTACATTAGGGGTGGGAGGATCTCCCTATTTTGCCTTCAGACTTTAATGGTATATTCTCTCTTTACATCTCATCAATAAACGTTTCAACATGTGTTGCTTAAATTTTGTTACTGGAACACGTATCTACATGGTGCTGCTGGTTTAAAACTGAAGCTGATGCAAACAGAAGATACCAACATTACAGAAGCCCCCTTTTGTTTTTTGCATGGTGAACATTCTTCCCACACTCATATTTACTTGTGCACATTAAGCTATCCAGACAGAACAAATCTGAGCAGTACAACAATTCATTTGCTATGTTACTGAGTTCAAGTAGTTCCTTGACTGCAAGCTGTAGCTTATGCTCATTAAAACCAAATGAGCAGATCTCTCAATGTATTACTTGCCGTAATTCCAACCCAGATGCAAATATCCCCAAGCTGTTAAATACATACTTTCTGAAGTATTAAAGATGTTTTGATGCTAGACAGGCATGTAGTGGCAATCACCAGTGATGGTCCAGTGCCAGGGAAATTTGAGAGGAATTTTAAGGAAAGCAACAGAGTGAACAGAATGAGGCAAAATTCATAATACCAAAGATAAAATTAACTCTGTTAAATGTCATCGCAATTCATGCTTGAATTCAAACAATATTGTCTCCACTTTAGTACATAACTGGCGCTGTATTTGGACCCCTCAGTATTTAAGCTTCACTCTCCTTAGGGAGAATTTTATGAGAAGAGAAAGAAGTTACTGGAAGCAGTACAAGTATTTGAAATATTTCATTTGTGATCAAGGGCTGTAATGAAATATTGGAATTGGAACTGTTTGGCTTGTTATTCACAGAAGGCGGAGAGACTTGAATCTCCTTAGCTACCCTATTTCTTTAACTGCCTCTTCCAAAATCAAATTACTATGGAAATAGGTAGGCTTTTATTTCAGAGTTATTTGTTGCGGAACATCTCAGGGAGGCAGCAGGTTATGATAATGCAGAAAAATATAGATACCTTATTGGCAAATTCAGAGCTAACTTCCAAAGCCAACAGTTTTCAAACTCATCACGGTTTTGGTAGATAAATCCACATAAATCCACAATGCCAACCCCAAATATATAGCTATCAAGTTTGACATAAATGTCTTTAATTTAATTGCACTTGTGTTGCTATTAGTCTTCTGGTTTTGAACCATTAGGCTCTAGAGATGTGAGCTCTGAAACCTTTCTTTTCCCTGAAAAGCTGAGAGGCTGCAGGATTCAGGAGGAGAAGTTCTGAGCAGTTCTTTTGAGGAATTCTGTAAATGTGACACACTAGTCAGCAATTTACAACAGTCACAAGTCTAGAACTTGGTTAAGTATGTGTATTGACTGAAATTGAAAGGTCCTAGCCAAATCTGTGTGTTCCTCATGCTAGGAATGTGGGTTGCAGCCTCAAACTGTAAAGCCAGGGTAAGCAATAAAAAAGAGGAAAACATGCATATCAAAAAATAAAACCTTTTAGTTATGGAAGTAGGTACGACAGGGGGCAAAGGCAGCCTTTACATTTGTATTTTGTAAGTGCCAGCATTCTCACATCTTCATTCCAGTCCCATCATTACTGGCTGGCTCAGGCCAGCTGCAGGTGCCAGGGAGGTGAGTGCTAATATAGGGACCATAGCTTAGGGAAAGAAAAGGGACAGGGTGAGAAGCAGCAGAGACTGCAGTATCTATGTCAAAATGCACTAGCAGTATTTTGTGCAGGCTTTGGTATGAGTGCAAAAAACCCGCTCTCTGGGTTCCTCTGAAGGTCTGCCTTACCCTCTGAATTCAAGTTACAGCTGTCATCAGAACATTTGCTCTTCCACCAAGGAAGAACATTTTTGCTGCTGTTTGACTTCCTCAATGACCACCGAACGGCACGTACAGTTCCCGACAATCTCCATCATCCTGAACTGTCCTAACGTCCCCTTGGCAGAAGTACTCGACCCAGCTCCTACAATTTTAAGTCTGTTTTATGGAATGGGAAATGCAAAGAAAGGTCTTAAATCTGAACACCATTTGCAAAACTTCCTCTCCCAACACTAGTGCTAATAAATGGATACATCAGTGCTCTTTCAGCATTATGGGAGCCATATGTGTATTTTTCTCAGAAAATAATGCTTTCTGTAAAATCACTTTGAACATAAAGTGCTTATGCTGTCACTTCCGATTACTCACAGCCTCTTCACAACGGGATTTGCCACAGCACAAAACAGACTTAGTTGTATTTGCTGACTGAGGGCTACTTCCCTCTGATACACAAAACAGTGATGGGAATATTAGTGTTTCTATTTTTCTACCTAATTTTCTCTGTATGACATGGGTGGTGGGTTTTTCTAATCAGATGTTTCCATAATAATTACCGATTACCATCTGGTAAGGCCTTTTAGCTGGTTTACGCAGATATTTTTAGATAACCTTTTAAAACAACAGCTATGGGGGGCGGGGGTATGGGGGGTTGTGTCTTCATAATCACATTGGTAGCCGCAGTGAATCTGAAGTATTTTGCTTTGAACAGTGGTTTTACAGTTACTGACTGAAGTCTGGTGGGACAAGGATAAGCACTGCTAGTGAGTTCAACCCGTTTAGATTTAAATTAATCAGGAATCCTTACTTAGGTTAAAATGAGTAGGGAATTTTTCAGAAGCCTTTCCTTTACATCAGTAACTGTACGTGACTAGAAAAGCTGAGCAAAAAATGTACCAGCAAATCCAAACAATTACTTAGGTTAGATACATTAGAACCAATGCTTTAAATATAAATGTTAAATACGCAACAAATTCCTACATCATTGCGATCAGTTCTAATGCAGGAAGGCAGTGACTTTGCTATTCAGCATTTAAGAACTGTAACTAATCTCCTAAAAATGAGTGTATTATGGGGAAAAAAACCCAGAGTTGGTCTGAAAACTACTTAGTGTAAAAAAGGGGAGTTACAGATGTTCAGCTCTCTCTGGGCCAGTGCTAAATCCCATTTGCATATATGTTTGAAGGCCTTTCCTCTGAGCTGCATCCTACAAGCCTTACCCAGATTTCATCTGAAATCAAAAGGATCCTGAGAAATTAATTTTGCCAGTCCAACATACTTCGGTACTTTTCTTCACAGGACCAGGCATTATTAACTGGGATTGCTCTCACTTTATTCCTGGGACTGAACCTTCAGCGTATATAGATGTGATTATGTCTATTCCACAATAAAACCTAGGTGTAACACATTACTGCCAAAGATTTCTTTCTTTTCAAGAAGTGGAGCACAAAGAACCCAGTGACTCCTTTCAAAATGTGACTTAATGTGAATTCTTATTTTTTATGGGCTTAATTTCAAAATGCAACAGACTGATCTGTGAACCACTTGCCACTCGGCACTATCCTAACCAGCCAGCTTTCCATTCTCCTTTAGCAACTAAGAGAAAAGAAATAGAGGATGAAACAACCCTAACTTCAGTGTTGCTAATACAGAAAGACTTCCTGACTTAACCAACCGGACTTCAAAGTAAAGCAAAGGAAATGTCATTAAAATACCACAGTATATCACTGCCATGGTTATCAGTGAGTGAAAGTTTCAGTATTACAGTTATCAGAGAATTGATCACTTCAGCAGTGCAGTTTGACATTCCTGATCAACACCATATCTTGAACAAATTAACTTCTTTGACTTTTCATAGTTGCTATGAAACATTCTTTGCAACAACAATCGTTTGGGGTTTTTTAAACAGCATTCATACACCATTCCCTTTCCCCCTCCCACTAACAATATGTAATTTGCCATGATGGGTGGTATTTACAAAAATAGCATTCTGGACGCAATGAACTTTGAAAAGAGTATCTACCATCAGAGACAGGATCTTCTTTTGCAGGCAGTTAGCCTGAGTGACCTTCACTAGCCAGCTTCAAATAGAGAGAACAATGTCTTCAAGTACAAAAAGAGACTCAGATATTTTATACATCATAAGCCATTTCTCACAGTTGCCCATCCAAATAAAGAAGCATAATGAAACACTGCTTACTCTGTGAACCCAGATCCCTGCTGCTGTTATACAGTTGTCAGCTTCCCTTTTTCAAGGGGAAAACATACTCTGATGTACAGAAAGATAAGTAAAAAGTCCCTGTCTAGCAGAATACATTACTCTGCAAAACATCAAAGGAGGATATTCTGGAGTGCAATTTTCTTAAACCTCCAAAAAACCTCTTCCTTGGAAGTTTGTGTGGATAAACGCATGCACCACTTGCAAAGCTCATAACTGATCGCCAGCACTTCTATTAAGCACCACTGTTTTCCTTTGCTTTCCTTTTTGTGCCCAAACTGGGGCTGATGACAGTATATCTAGCCAAATGATACATGCATATCATACTTTGGTCACATAGGTGTGCCTATCAACATATATTTTTATCTTTTTACTTTCTCCTACTCTCCCCTAAGCCAGCATTATGGCTCTCGCATGTTTGGGAACTCGATGGATTGGAAATCTTGGGGGAAAAAGAAGTTCAAATTTTAAAGTGTAAGCCTCCTGCCTCACTTATTGTGTTAAATCAGAAAGAAAATGGATTACAAGCTTGGATCCCACTGTGCTTCATCCTGTCACTCCACTGCTTTTTTACTCTGCCACTACACAAAGCCAGCAATTAAGGTGGAAGATTACATGTAACACCGGGGCACTTGCAGAGAACCTACCAAAGCAGAATAATAGATTTAAGTGTATTCACAAAGGAGTTTGCTCTTTCAGAAACCTCAGCAATGGTTTTTACACAAGTCTGTGAGGATCTCTGGCTTGAAGGAATTCTGTGAGCTTTGTAGGCCATTGTTTATGGTGACTAAGGTAGAAACAACATACACGCAACTGTTGTAAATACAACTGCAGCGAGTTTAACCAAATGAAAT